TTTCCTACCTTTTCTCGCATCTGCATCTTCTTTCTTCTTACTCTTTCTCTTCTACTCTTCTTTCTTCTAATCTTTCTCTTCTCTCTGCCTCTTCCCTGCTCTGCTTTTCATCTGTCCATATTGTCGGAAGTTTGACTTCTAAACTTCCTTCGAATATGCTATGTAGGTTACAGCAATATCATGGAAAGCAATGTCACAGTAAAGCTGACCCTGCCAACAATAGGGGTTTATTAAGGCGTGTTAATCACCATGAGAGATATCAGGTGGTGGAGACAACAAAAAGACAATTGATATTTGGAGGGGCAGGCCAAGGGTTACAAGTGGATATGTTTCACCATAGTTGGGGTAAACTCTCGCAACTTTTGGAAATTAGAATCCAAGTGTTAGTACGCCATTGATTTCACATCTGACCACTCAGAGCTGTACCCTCCAGGCGCTCGACTTAAAACCCTGATTGGTCGAAAGCATATGGGTCAACATCCCAGAAAAATCCGTGGGTAAACATGGATGAGCTAATCGAGGTAAACCACATATCAATTGGGGTGCATATCTACCTGCATTAAGACACTGCCCCCTACCTTGGATGTGCATCCAAGGGTTATTGTCGATGTACCAACTAGGATGCATACCCAAGTAGTGTTATCATATGTTGCATGAGTACATGACGATCGGCTATCAATTAAGTACAAGGACCCGTCTGTCATTGTAGAGATGGACCATGGGTGTTTCTCGATGATGAACCCATAGCTACTTGATTTCAACAGTGCAAGCGATGCCTGCCTACAACTGAAAAACAACTGATGCCAACCTGCAACAGGAAAAACGGGGCATGAATGTGAGATCGTCCTAGGCAAGCCCCTACGCAACCTGTTACTGGCCGAAACCATCAAGATGGCCATTTTGAGCTGCAATGCACACAATGGTGTTGCACCGCTATTCATTGATTGATCTTTATCAGCACCAACTTCCACCAAATGACGGACAACATCAAGATGGCCCCTTTCAGCTGCACTGTACAATGGTTTTGCACCTGTATTCCCTACTCGATCTTTGTCAGCACCAACTTCCACCAAATGGCGGACAACATCAAGATGAGAGCTGCAATGTTCAATGGTGTTGCACCCGCATTCTGTGCTTGATCTTTGTCAGCACCAACTTCCACCAAATGACGGACAACATCAAGATGGCCCCTCTCAGCTGCAATGCACAATGGAGTTACACCCTGATTCTGTGCTTGATCTTTGTCAGCACCAACTTCCACCAAATGACGGACAACATCAAGATGGCCGTTAAGAGCTGCAATGTACAATGATGTTGCACCGCTATTCTTTGCTTGATCTTTGTCAGCACCAACTTCCACCAAATGACGAACAACATCAAGATGGCCCCCCCTCAGCTGCAATGTACAATGGAGTTACACCCTGATTCTGTGCTTGATCTTTGCCAGCACCAACTTCCACCAAATGACGGGCAACATCAAGATGGCCCCTATCAGCTGCAATGTACAATGGAGTTACACCCTGATTCTGTGCTTGATCTTTGTCAGCACCAACTTCCACCAAATGACGGACAACATCAAGATGGCCCCTCTCAGCTGCAATGTACAATGGAGTTACACCCTGATTCTGTGCTTGATCCTTGTCAGCACCAACATCCACCAAATGACGGACAACATCAAGATGGCCGTTCTCAGCTGCAATGAACAATGGTGTTGCACCTTGATTCTGTGCTTGATCTTTGTCAGCACCAACTTCCACCAAATGACGGACAACATCAAGATGACCGTTCTCAACTGCAATGAACAATGGTGTTGCACCTTGATTCTGTGCTTGATCTTTGTCAGCACCAACTTCCACCAAATGACAGACAACATCAAGATGACCGTTCTCAACTGCAATGAACAATGGTGTTGCACCTTGATTCTGTGCTTGATCTTTGTCAGCACCAACTTCCACCAAATGACGGACAACATCAAGATGCCCATTATGAGCTGCAATGAACAATGGTGTTGCACCGGTATTCCTTTGCTTGATCTTTGTCAGCACCAGCTTCCACCAAATGACGGACAACATCAAGATAACCGTTCTGAGCTGCAACGTACAATGGTGTTACACCCTGATTCTGTGCTTGATCTTTGCCAGCACCAACTTCCACCAAATGACGGGCAACATCAAGATGGCCCCTCTCAGCTGCAATGCGCAATGGAGTTACACCCTGATTCTCTGCTTGATCTTTGTCAGCACCAGCTTCCACCAAATGACTGACAACATCAAGATAACCGTTCTGAGCTGCAACGTACAATGGAGTTACACCCTCATTCTGTGCTTGATCTTTGTCAGCACCAACTTCCACCAAATGACGGACAACATCAAGATGGCCGTTCTGAGCTGCAATGCACAATGGTGTTGCACCGCTATTCTCTGCCTGATCTTTGTCAGCACCAACTGCCACCAAATGACGGACAACATCAAGATAACCGTTCTGAGCTGCAACGTGCAAT